TCTTAAAACCATTCTCGTCCTTTCTAAACGCCACGTGGAGAGAACCAAAAAAATTGTCCTGTTAACCTGTAAAAACGTTATCTTCTCGTTTTCGCTGAACTTTAGTTTTAAGAGGAGAACTTCAAATGTTCCCACCAAAACCAAACCATTAGTTAATACTTACTTACAGTACTGTATTAGAGTTTGTTTTGCAGTTAAAACGTTTACTCAAAATAGCGAATCACTATAGTTTCATTAAAGAGGTGTCCGTACCGAGAGGTTCGACTGTATTATAAATGGCGAATATTCATGAATCTGATTACAACAGGCCCACATGTGGAGATTTGTTTGAATTTCTGTCACTAAAATGCCTATGCCCTATAATTAGCATTGAATGTAGCTTCCTAGAAAAACATGATTTCAGTACTTTTTTCGTAACAAAATTCTAAATATCACAATTTTTTCCTAAATATCATAAGATTTTCTAAATATCTCAAAATCTTATAAATATCTTTAAAATATCCGGATATTTGTATCATGGCCAAGATGTATACAGGATAGTTTTCCGTGTTGGCACGAAAAGCTATCACCGGTATAGTATGAACACAGCCTTAGATATATATTTTTCAAAGAATGTGAAAAGTATATCATTAACATATTTTGAGGCTACATGTTGTGAAAAAATAAATAAATAAAACGCGATAAACATATCCTTCTCGTCAAAGGTTGGTATGTATTTTGAACAAAAGTAAATAGAGCAAAGAACGAATGAAATAGTTTCAATCGTTTCTTAAGGTGGCTCCGTTATTTATTTTATTTTTAATTTATAGTTTGTAATGCGCATTTGATCATTTGATACATGTTAATTTGCGCAATACCAAGTAATGAATATTATATTATTCCGTTGTGGTTATACAGGCGCATTGAACTACGTCGAAACTGTTACCTAATGTCATACCGGTTTACTGTTCCCAATGCGATGACCACGAAAATTCAGGAGAACTTGGCAATAGTATGGAATAATTCGATTTCACGTGCGAAATTAAAAATTAACGCTTAAGTCAAGCTAGAGAGACTCTAGAAGGAAATCGCGTCTTGTGAAACATTTTGCGAATATTTGTTGCTGAAATTTCAGGTATCAGCTTTTATTGATATAATTAGTATGCCAAATAATTTGTTTAGAGAAATCTTTGGAGCAGAATTCCGTAACTAGAGCTGTTCAATAATTTCGACAACAAATCGCTCTCAGGCAGAACGAGCCATCATTTCAAATTTTTGGGACAAGAATTTTCAATGCAAGCTATATATATTCTGAAAACCAAGCCGATCGGCAATCGTGCTATTCTTTCAAAGGTACTCTATAAATTATTCCAAACCTTGCTGTGAAGACAATTGATTTATTCTTCAACATTTTTTGAACGTCCTTCAGCAGTTTTGGCTCAAATTCCTTCTACATAGAGCCTCGTCTGTAAATAGAAAATTAATATTCCATAAAGAAAAAAATCCATAAGCAGATGTAAACATATGATCTCTATTCGCCTATCGGCCTGATATTCCTTTAATGTTCTAAAACGAGGGGAAAAATGGTCAGTTCCTTTCACATGAGTGGAGACTTGGGAAGGGAATATTGGTAATCACGGTGGTTAAAAATGAAATGCCGCAAGTAAAAAAATCTTGTTACCGTAATGTGGCATATTTTATACAACTATTGTGAGACCTCGTGCTAAAGCAATTTATAAACCCAAGCTGCTCATATCGGTTTAATCGTAAGGTAAATTTATTGCATTATATTCAGTGGACAAACACTATACGATGTTTCGTTTTACGTTGGCGTTTTTTATCGCCACCCTCTGTTTTTCCGCAGCAAGGTAACTGTTACAGTTTTTCGGATTTTTGTCAGTTTATAGCTTTATGCTGAACATATAATACTACATAATGAGTATAAATGTGAAACCTCTCAATTTTCTTTTTGAGAAAATGCTTTTTATTTTTTTCCTGTTAGACAATTTTGAGAAAATTGATAGTCTTGTCGTTGTATGATTTCACACGCCGCTTAGACCCTCTTATTTTGTCACTTCACTGTAAAATTACTAAATACACCTGATTTTAAATAAAAAAAATTATAAGAACAACGAGGCTCACATTTGCACAAAAATCGAGAGCATTATTGTAACTACTTCAGGATGCAAGTGTGAAATATTATTAATTGACAAAGCAAAATACATCAGTTCATACGGATGCAAACGCATTGCAGGTTTTTATTGGCATGGGTAAAAACAACGATGAAACAGATCATAAAATTATACCGCGTATATAGATAGACTCAAGCATTCATTTTTGTGGTAAAGGACAACAAAGGCTATTTATCACATATCTACAGCGTTTTGTAAGATGAATTTCCAACCAAATTTTTGATTCCGTGCAAATTCTTTCAAAAATGAATAATCGCGATCATCTAGGAGTAAGCTAATCACATGTAATCAAGTATGTAACTTGTTAAACTTGATTTTCACGCAGGGCCATGGCGAAGAAAATTCGATATAAGGTTCTTGAGATGGACCCAAAAGGAAATCTTTACCTTCACAAGACTGCGATTCTCTGCAAAAATGAAATTGTCAAACGACTTGTAAATGACACATACCAGCTGGTAGAATCGAACCCTATCGGTGAGTCGCGGTGGTGGTTTAACATGCAATGTAACGACTTTAGATTTTTATTCAATTAGTATAAGACCAGAGAATTTTCCAAGTAAATCGTGCTGAGCTGTTTCATTGATGTGTCACTCCTACGAAGTAAAAAAAGCTTGCAAATTCGTGAATTAGAGGAATAAGATTTAGCTTCCTTAAACTGCTAAGAATGTCAAAAAAGCGAGAAACAATGCTGCAGTAGTCCACTCAAAATGTTTTTCTTCGTTTTCAATGGCTCACCACGGAGAGCAACCGTTGCGTAAATTCAGTTCGTAAGCGGAAAATTATTTTGTCCATCTTCCCTTTTTTCAGTGGTAACTGTCGTGACGGGAAGGACGGCTGCTGGCACGCGCTTTCAGAAAAAAATCTCATTTTCAAATGGTCGTTTTCTTTATAAACGCAGGTCTGTCAAAAGATTCTTCAGCACTCAATTGCAAGGATCTCAAGACAAAAGTGCCTTCTGCCACGTCAGGCGTCTACTGGATTGACCCGGATGCTGGTTCCCATAGCAACGCTTTTCAGGCCTATTGCGACCAACAGAATGAGGGAGGAGGTTGGACTTTGGTCTGGAGTTATACCCCTTCACAGCTTATTCAAGCTTCACCTCTGGTGCAAACGCTGTCACTCCGAGGCCTACATGGACAGCCGGCAATGCTAACACAAGAGTTTCCACCACAGTTCCACTGAGCGAGACGCATTATGAAGCCATGAACTTTGCTTTGTGGCGCTCCATAGGAAAAGAATTCCTTATCAAGAGTAACATCAACAACTGGATCTGGAAGCCTAGTGATGCAGAAAACGGGGTCCCTCAGCTGTAAACTGGTCAAACAAGTTTCAAAGCAGTGTGTCGGTGTAGTGCCAAAGTCCATAACGATGCACAGTTATGGTCCTTATCTCAGCAGTGCAAACGCCTATTATTACTTCGACGGTAGTACGAGTAGAAATTGGCCCACACACGATCCATGTGGCAGAAACGACGAGAATCAAGTAAAAGGCGTGGTTAATCCACATGGCAATATTTTTGTAAAGTGAAAAATTTCTCAAGCGCCTGCTGAAAATTGGGGAGGAACCAAGATAAAGTCATTAAATGCTAATAAGCTCTCTAAGGGACTGTAAACAAAATTAGTAGCAAAAAGTTAAACTTAACATACAACTGAATACTATACTACTGTTGTGTGGCAGTAGGGAGGCAGCAGAGCATTGTGAATGAATAGCCAATAAATTTGGGTTCCTTATATTGCAATTGTTTCTCATTTATTTTTCAGCATTAAATGAGGTTTAATTAACTACAGTCACCCAGGCCAATCAGGTACTTTCAGTTGCTGATATTCCCACCGTCAAAGAGTAAAACAAAGCTAGATTATTTCCCTTGACCGAATTTTTCTCGTTATACGTTTTTCGCGTTAGCCTCCTGAAAGCGACCACAAGGGAAACTTATAGAAGACGGACACCTGGTGCCTGTTGGCCCCTGATGTTTTCAAGGTTGGAAATTATGTGACTCGTCCCATATTATTAAAACATGGATTTTTGGTTTCCTCTTAATAATCCAGTAAAACCTTCTTCTGTGCATGAAAAAATCATAAATCTCTAGCCTCTTGCCTCGCTTCATAAGGAATTTAATTATATTAATATTAAATAGTTGAGCTTTGGGGAAAAGGCAAATAACGTTAACTCTAGTATAAAATTCACCGCTTAGATGTCAAAAACAAAGATCACTTTCTTGGACAAAAAAGTGTACAAAGGGATTAGTTACAACAAGGAATCAATCCTAGACGTGCAAACACATCATTACAAACCAACAGAAACTTTCGGTACACGAACTTCTATTCGTGTCGCCCACCAGGCGTGAAGAAAGGCTTCAAAAAGGGAGAAGCGCTCAGGCTTCTAATGGCTAATTCCCCTCAAACCACAATAAGGTAACAGAATTTAAAACAGCAATGAAATGTAAAAAACAAAAATCGTACATTTTATTAAAATTGCATTTTAGAAAGGACACACAGGTTTGAGAGTATTTTTAGCAATATTAAATCTCCCGCTGGCTGTGTTTTTTATAATATGTGTGGTCAACCGCCCCGTTACTATCAAGACTTAAATGTGTGCATATCTATGTTATAAAATAGGATGACCCACCCCCTAAAGGAAGCTGAAAATTGCACGACCCACCCATTGTACAAGGCTCAAAACCTTATGACCCACCCCTCCCCACCTCCCCGCCACCCATACGTTTTGACCAGTCACCCTAAAGTGAACGTCGGCTATCTTTACCAAATCGGTGAGCTTGAGGGCGGTCGAAGAAGCGCCACAGACTCTGTTTGGTCTTTGATAGTCTTCAACATTAAAAGTACTGTGACTAAACTCAAGGTATCGATTACCTTGGCCACGGTCACTAGCGAGGCTTGTCCATAAGGCCGGCTGCGGGGGCTGTGCAAGCTAATACAGAACTAACTTTAACTAAAACTGATGCTTAATATCCTTGTTCCCGTAGGCCAGAGTGTTGATTTTGACTAGTAGGAGGTAGCGCTTTGAATCAAGGCGTGTGAGTCCAACTCTTGGCATGGTCGAGTTAATTTTAGATTAAGTTATTATATCGTTTTACAAAGTGCCCCTTAAGTATAAGATTAGGTGAGAGGAAGGTGGCCCCTCACACTGGATTTTTTTCACATTTTATGACACCAAGTTATTATCATCATTATTTAGGTTATACGTTTGTTACTATACTTTATTTATACAAATTTATATTCAAGTTATTCGCTTTTTATCAAAGTCATTTAATTACTTAGTATACGCTCGATCTTAGCCTTGTAAACTTATACTTTTATACTCTGAGGGAGCCCAGTATCGATAAGCCTTATGGTTTCTTTTTGGGCTTCTTCACCACATTGCTTTAATATTTTGTGTATTTCTCTGCTCGTCTTTGGATTTTTGTAGTTAAATAAACTTAACTAAATTTAATTGATTCAACCTAAATTTAAATCGCAGATTCCTGTTCCTAAAGTAGTTCCTACAATATTAACGTATTTCTTTGAAAACGGGTAAGTAGCTAAGCATACATTTTATTTGTATTCTATTTATAAAAATAAAGATAAGCGAAGTACGCTATCTAGTGCGCTCTCCGATTTTCGCTTGCTGTTCACCCATAATTTTCGGGAGCCTTTTTTTCTGGCTGAAATTTTCGAAATGGTAAGTTTTCATCCCTATGATTTTCGGATCACTAGACGTTCAGCTTGGAAATCCGAACAGATGAAAAATTTTTAGGGGATTGAAATATGCCTGTATCTACCGTTTGAATACTAAAATACGTTTAACAATGCTATGTTTAAGTGGTTTTGAACTATATTCTCGTTGGGTGCCCCTGATGAAAGTCATGGAAAATGAAAGTTGTGTTTGGTAGATACATTTAAGTTACTGCAGATTACAAAGCAAGGACAACTTAAGTTCAAGAGGAGTAATTAAACAGCGCGAACAACACGCATTTTGGTGAACACCAGAGTTTGTGTCTGTTGAACTGCTTAAGGTCAAAACATGTGCTAAAACAAGAAAAGGTTTGAAAATTTTCGAAACTGACAGCGAAACCGAAGGTCGTGGAAAACTTGAAAAGTTCATGGAAATAGTCGTGGAAAGTTATGGAATTTGAACACCTCAAAAGAATATGAACCCTGCCACGCTGGCCAATATGCCAGTTTCGAATTTATAACTGAATTCATACATGCATGGTTCCGATGCTTGGGTTTATAAAACAAAAGAAATAGAGTTGAGTCTTCCTTCAACTCATTTTTCGGTATATAAAAAATTCGACGTTTGAACTGGACCTGAGTTGGAACAATCGCGATTGAAGATTAAAAGAATGCAAAGTCACTTTTTAAGCGATGTTGTCGCCGCCGTCGCCGTCCTCGGATCTCAAGGTCCCTAGTAATGAAGCTGGAAACAAATCAGTGTCAAAATATTAAAAAGAAATATTTATTTTGTCTCCCAAATTTTAGAGAAATATATTTGCAAGAGTATGAATAACAAAGATCCCGTTGAGTTCAGTTAATTTTCCCCCTCAAAAGAATCAATTTGGACCTAAATTTTGTTTAGAAAGAGGAGCTATTAATAATTTATCTTTGTCGTCAAAAGGTTAAACTAGTTATACATTTGGAATAAAAATAAATTCAATAAAAAATGATGAAATATTGACTTTTTTAGTTTCAATGTTTGCTCAAAGGGTTTTCTTAATATGTAACTATCCCAGCTTCAAAAACGAAACATCAGAAGGCAAAGCTTTGTAAGCCTTTCTGGTTAATTTTCCTTACACCCGGAACTTACACTCCTTTTTGAACGGCAGTAGTGTTTCCAAGTGTCCCGGGAGGAAAGCGATGCTGTCATTCACCTTTGAGAGAATCTGTTTTGTTATTCAAAATTACGATGCGCGCAAGAGTAAAATTCACGAAATTTTTTTGTCTCATCAGGAGGCCAAGCTAGCCTACGTAGAAGGGTCCTGTTTTTTTCAGGGGCGAAGAAGGAAATTTCGAGGTTAACCGGCGCCTGTCGCTAAGGCCGAGCATGGTCAAGCGGATTTCAACTCGGTCAGCCGCGACCAGCGTTTAAATCCCGCTCTAGTCACTAGCAAGTGTTTTTCTCGATAGACCGCCCCGGAGTTCAAATCCTCGGCCATGCTGACAGTCAACTGTTTTGACTAAGGCCAGTAGCGATCCTTCTTTGTTGTTAAATTTAGAATACATGTATTTGGTTTCTATTCTTCAGTGTTTTTTGATAATCAATATGAACTATCGGATCACCAATCATAGCGCCACACCTTTGAAGATTTCGTCTGTTTATTCGTAAACGAGACTGACGAAAGATTTACGTATTCGAGCAATGTGTTTCTATACTTCGCGCATAATGTTAGCCAGATGGCTAGAGAATGCACTTTATTTCAGTATAAATGTATTTAGCGTGAGAGTTTGCAGGGCAGGGCACTTCCTTCATTTCCCAGTTTTTTCTAAGATTCCGAGTATTGTTCCGGCCGCGGGGATCGTGCCATGCGGAACCATGTAGTCACCTCCCGCTCTGTATTCAAGCACCCCGTTAACTTAAGTCTTGATAAATATGAAGCTTACACGCGTAGGTTTGTTCTGTTCAGTTTTTCTAGCAACACAATGGTGAGGGAAGGAAGCCACTCTAACATGTTCCATAAGGAGAAAAATCTATTAGCCAGTATAAACTACTTTCATTTCCATTGGCAATAATCCTTCAAAGATCAACTTAACTAGGAACTTTTCATCATCAACTCCTTTTGTCCGAGTGGGGACTAGGGTGGGGGCATTGATTAATCACGCGTCAGAATTAAAAATAAAGTGAATAAAGAGGGTCTGGATGGGGGGGTACAAATGTCAGTTGTCAGTTAAAATTTCGGTCATTTGTCAGTTGTCAGTTAAATTTTCGGCTTTTTGTCAGTTGTCAGTTAAATGGTTGTTAATGATTAACTATGAAACTTATTTGAATATTTTTGACGCTAAATTTGGCTTAAAAGGCACATATAATGTAAATTAAACATTAAATTCGAAAACTGATGCCATAGTACCTTAATTTTTATCAGTTTTGCTATTGTACATGTTGTAAGCATTTCAATTGGCCCTTCTTTTCTCAAGTCTTGGGTTACTCCCCTCCAGTGGAAAGTTTTTGCTGGCCAGCGTCTAATATTGCTAACCATTAAGCCAATCAAAATTTATACCTTCAGAATATTGTATACGCATTATGCGTGAGTCTTACGCCTGTGGACTAAAGACATCGATATCACGCATCAAGGACAATTTCTCACCCCTGACTCACAAATCCGGACAAATTGTTCTTAACACTTTTGTGTTCTTTTTTGTATTCTAACGAAATCATATCAAAGCACGCTAAAATTGTCGTCTTTTAAGTAGCTTCGGAAGTGCTCAAACGTCTTCGGGAACATCTGCGGACATTTAATTTTTGGCAACATTCGGAAGTCTTCGGAAATTCGTCGAAAATCTTCGGAAGTCGCCGAGACGTTTACGGAAATCTCCGTCATGACAAGGCGAAAATCTCACGCATTTGACTTAGAAACAGTTGGCAGGTATAATATTGAGACGTAGATCGTACGAATACCAAGAAAAACCGTCTCTGAATCATCTCAGTAAAAACTGCCAATTGCCTGTGTAACGCCCTCACTCTGAGCAGCCATCGTATGCTGGCGCGTGCTCAGAGGAGCGTAAATTTGAGATCATAGGTCATTTACAACAGATGGTACATGACACACGTGAGTTTTACAGTAAAATCATTAACGAAATATGACACTTAAGCGTCTTGCTGCGAAGATTACCCTTAAAAACGCACATTTGATCATATTGTCTGATGAAAAGAGTGGAACAATGCTATTTTAAGGCCTTAAAAACGGGTTTTGTAGAAAATAAGGGACAATCAGGTCCTTTGTCAGCTGACAGTAAAACCCAAGGCAAATGTCAGTTGTCAGTTAAATTTTCGGCCATTTGTCAGTTGTCAGTTAACCTCATCCAGACCCTCAATAAAGGCCGCAAGTAAAAAATCTTGTTACCGTAACGTGGCATATTTTATTCAGGTTTTGTCTGACCTCGTGGTAAGCAATTTATAGACCCAAACTGCTTCATATCAACATCATTTCAACTGGTTAATCGTAAGACATTTATCGCATTCCTGTGAAGCAATTCAAAATGACGTTTCGTTTTACGCTGTGCTTGTTTCTCGTCAGTGTCTTTTCTTCCGCGACAAGGTAACAGTATTTCTAATTTATACCTGATTTGAACTTATGACGAGTGCGTGAAATTAAACAAAACTCTCCACACTTTCCTGATGAGAGGCTGTCGCTAGTTTGCTTTCATTTTACCTTGTTTACACTAAGATTTTTCACCCCGCGAAACAAATTCCAAAATTTATACTTTAATTTATCGTTTGTTCGGTTACATGGCCGTGCTGTTTTATACTTCGCCTGCTCCTGTGTTTTCGCTTTTATGCAAAATTGATACAGCAAGTTTCAAAGACATTCATAAACAAAGCGTTTCGATTGAAGCAATGCAAAAGCGCTCAAAAGGCTTCTGTAAGAGTTAATAACATTGACCGAAAAATTCTACAAAGGTAATGATTTTTTATCTCTAATTAGAATGAGCTATGATGACTCTTTTCCATGCATTTTAACGCCTCTAGAAAAAGCCTTTCGGGCGGCTTTTGAAACACTTCTGATTACCTTCAATGTAGCTATGAACCATGATCTCGCACAAACAGCTTTCAGCAGCCTCAAACATTGAAATTTCGGTATAAGACAGAAAAGAGAGTTTTACGACATTGAGTTACACATCTACAGCTTTTTTGAAGTATCAGTAAAATTAATTGGCAATCACATTATTTTCAGTTTCCGCACAAACTCTTACTCTAACGCATGTTAAACTTTATTTACGTAGGGCTCTGGATAAAAATACCAGATATAAAGTGCTAGAGATGGACCCAAAGGGAAATCTTTACCTTCACAAGACTGCGTTTCTCTGCAAGAATGATATCATCAAACGACTCGTTAGCGGCAAATACCATCTCGTAGAATCGAGCCCCATTGGTAAGTCACTCAATGTTTCCCACATAGGAAACCAGCAAAGGGCGTTATATGTATTGTGATGAGCCGTATGCTTAATGCTTCCAGATTTGTACTGAATTAACTTTTGATTAGACTAGGATTTCTCTAAGTAATTTGTGACTAGTTCATGTTTTTGTAACACCAAAGATCTTACACTGAATTCGATGAATTCGGAGAATAAAGACTTTTCTTGAACTGCTAAAATGTTCGAAAAGGAAAAGGAATTCTGCAGTGCCATTTCAATTGTTTTCGTACTTGCTTTAACTTAAGCCACATTTTTTCCTAATAATAACGGACAGGGACTGCTGGTACTGTCCTAACGAAAGAAAACTCAATTTTATTAAAATGAACGTTTTTGTTGAAAACACAGGTCTGTCAAAAGATTCTTCAGCACTCGATTGCAACGATCTCAAAACAAAAGTGCCTTCTGCCACGTCAGGCGTCTACTGGATTGACCCGGATGCTGGTTCCCATAGCAACGCTTTCCAAGCCTATTGCGACCAACAGACGGACGGCGGAGGTTGGACATTGGTCTGGAGTTATACCTTCACAACTTATTCAAGCTTCACGTCTGGTGCAAACGCTGTCACTCCACGACCTACATGGACAGCCAGCAATGCTAACACACGAGTGTCCACCACAGTTCCACTGAGCGAGACACATTATGAAGCCATGAACTTTGCTTTGTGGCGCACTATTGGAAAAGAATTCCTTATCAAGAGTAACATCAACAACTGGATCGCTTGCAAGGAGGGGTTCTGGAAGCCTCGTGATGCAGAAATCGGGGTCCCTCAGCTGTAAACTGGCCAAACAAGTTTCAAAGCAGTGTGTCGGTGTAGTGCCAAAGTCCATAACGATGCACAGTCATGGTCCTTATCTCAGCAGTGCAAACACCTACTATTACTTCGACGGTAGTACGGGTGGTAGTTGGCCCACACATGATCCATGTGGCAGAAATCAAGCGAATCAAGTAAAAGGCGTAGTTAATCCACATGGCAATATTTTTGTAAAGTGAAAAATTTCTCAAGCGCCTGCTGAAAATTGGGGAGGAACCAAGATAAAGTCATTAAATGCTAATAAGCTCTCTAAGGAACTGTAAACAAAACTAGTAGCAAAAAGTTAAACTTAACATACAACTGAATACTATACTACTGTTGTGTCGCAGCAGACGACAGCAGAACATTGTGAATGAATATCCAATAAATGTGGGTTGCTTACATTGCAAATGTTTCATTTATTTTGTTCAGCATTAAATTAGGTTTTATTAACTATCGTCAGTTAAATCATCTACTTTCTGTTGCTGATATTTCCTACCGTCAAAGAGTAAAACAAAGTTAAATTATTTCCCTTGACCGAATTTTTCTCGTTATACTTGAGTAAACATTGAAGATTTTTAGCGTTTTGGCAGAGTTTGTGCTTTGGGAGTTGTCTATTGTTTCTAGTCTGTCATTATACAGCATTCTTGTTCAGCACGCGTGCAATGACCACGCTTGGCTGACTTCCGAATGCTCATCGAGATATAATAATTTAGTATAAGAAAATAGAAGGGATTCCCGTCACGAGTTGGTTTAATTATTGGCTTGCATTAAACCTATGAAAAAATGGTATTTTTTTAATAGTAAGTAGATTTAGTGTGTAGCACTTCTTGATTTTTTTGCAAAGGCACAAGAAGCACGAGAATTATCACGCGATGGCCTGTCTCACTGTACCAAAATTATCATATCTCGGTGTGCATTCGGAAGTCAGCCAAGCGCGGTCATTGCACGCTTGCTGAACAAGAATGCTGTATCATGACAGACTAGAAACAATAGACAACTCCCAAAGCACAAACTCAGCCAAAACGCTAAAAATCTTCAATGTTTACTCAAGTTTTGGCTTATAGAAGGTAATGTCACAGTTTTTCAATGACCATGAAATTCAGAGTCCGGGTAGTTAGTTAATCAATTGTGGCCCTGAAAAAATTTGAACGAAAAAAAACTACGAATTTTTAAGAAAATGCTTTTTTCGTGAGATTGACTCTTAAACGCTGACAAACGTCAACAAATTGCGAAAACTACAATTTCTATATGTTTGCTTTGCTCGAAATCGCGCGCATTTACAAGGCCCTAAATTGTTTTGCAGACTTGCAAGGACCCATCTGTTATAAGGATGCCCAAAATACAGAGATGAATCTCATAGTTTATTAGATATAATCCGTGTAAAGTTTGCTTATCATTTTCGTATAAATTATGACCTAAATTTGGAAACCGCTGAATTTCTCGAATTGGGTCTTTGCGATTTTGGTGAGACTCTATTTAGCGCAAGGCACTAATGCGCACTATGTGTAGCCGAGAGATTTTCACGAAAAAATGCCGGCAACAGCAGATTTTCGACTCAGACCTCAAAGGGGCGTGGCATTATAACCACGTGACATTTACTCCGATCGCCAAAAATTTTATGTTATATTGTAGATTGATCTATATGTTATCCATTCTATGTGTTAGACTTACGATAAAAGTGAAGGTGGGGATTCCAGAGAGCTTCAAAGTAGGATGGTACCCCCCCAAAAAAACTGGGTCGAGTCACCTTAAGCCACATTTTTTTCTAATAATAACGGAAAGGGACTGCCAGTACTGTCCTAACTAAAGAAAATCAATTTAAATAAAATGCTCGTTTTCGTTATGAACGCAGGTCTGTCAAAAGATTCTTCAGCGCTCAATTGCAAGGATCTCAAAACAAAAGTGCCTTCTGCCACTTCAGGCGTCTACTGGATTGATCCCGATGCTGGTTCCCATAGCAACGCATTCCAGGCCTATTGCGATCAACAGACGGACAGAGGAGGTTGGACGTTGGTCTGGAGTTATACCTTCACAACTTATTCAAGCTTCACTTCTGGTGCAAACGCTGTCACTCCACGGCCTACATGGACAGCCAGCAATGCTAACACACGAGTGTCCATCCACCACAGTTCCACTGAGCGAGACGCATTATGAAGCCATGAACTTTGCTTTGTGGCGCACTATTGGAAAAGAATTCCTTATCAAGAGTAACATCAACAACTGGATCGCTTGCAGGGAAGGTTCTGGCAGTTTCGTGTCACAGAAGACGGGGTCCCTCAGCTGTAAACTGGTCAAACGGGTTTCAAAGCAGTGTGCAGGTGTTATGCCCAAGACCATCACTATGGACAGTCACGGTCCTCGACTTTCCAGCAGTAGCCTGTACTACTATTTCGACGGAAATACGAGTGGAAATTGGCCCACGCATGATCCATGTGGCAAAAATCAAGCGAATCAAGTAAAAGGTGTGGTTAATCCTCATGGCAATATTTTTGTTCGATGAAAAATTTCTCAAGCGCATTGGGGAGGAACCAAGATAAAGTCATTAAATACTAATTAGCTCTCTGGGGACTGTAAACAAAACTAGTAGAAAAAAAAGTTAAACTTAACATACAGCTTAAAACCATACAAACAACTATTGTGTGGCAACAGGGAGGCAGCAGAGCATTGTAAATGAATATCCAATAAATGTGGGTTCCTTATATTTCAAATGTTTCATTTATTGCTCAGCATTAAATTAGGTTTAGTTAACTATCGTCACTCAGTTAAATCACCTACTTTCATTTACAGTACTGATATTTCCCACCGTCAAAGAGTAAAACAAAGTTAAATTATATCCCTTGAAGGAATTTTTCTCGTTATACGTTTTTCGCGTTACCTACTGAAAGCGACCACACGAAAACGCTGAATACACTCAACTCTCTAGCGTCAAGTCTTCACTAATTAGCCTGTGCCATGTAGACGACCCAAGGTTAAATTACGTCTGAGACGTGAGGCAGGAATATATCGCTAATTACATAGCTAGAATGAAAACCCAAGAGTCCTGAGCCAAGATCGACCAGAATATCAGAGCTAAATTATTGACTCGGAGGCTGCAAGTAGATAGTGATGCATTAGGAAAGGTTTCGGCGATTTTCACCCTGATGCTTACAAAACGAGAGTGTCCTTATTAAACGGTTTAAAATGTAAGGGCTTTGTCCAGGGACAAAGAAAGCTGTCCGTAATAACGAAGCGTTCGTATTAAGCGGATGTCCGCAAAGCGATGGGCTCGAATGTATAGCCCCAGGACCCTGTAAAACGTACCGGGCTAAGAGCTTGGTCTGCCTGTGGCCCAACATGGTTGGTCCCATTGAGTAGACATATTGAGTAGACACCCACGCAGCTAAACATGTTCTAGTTCATTAGAAATAGGATGTGGAATTGTCCAGTCAACACCTGGCTATCTTTCCATTATTTATCAGAGCATTGTCTACAACAATGTTGTTGTTGTTGTTTTTTTGTTTTGTTTTGTTTTTTGTTTTTTTTTTTCACCTCATTTTAAGATTTTTTTGCGGTTGTGAAAAGGTTCATTACTCAGTTGTAAAAACATTGGCAGAGAAGAAAATAATTGAAATTGGCGAACTTATCGTTGAATAATAGGTGCTATTTTTTTAAAAAAAGCTACCCTGTTTTTCTTATCAAAAAGTTTAATAGCGAGTCTGAGATAGCTCGGCGACAATGGCCCTTCCGGCAAGGCCCTAATATTTTGAAACAGAGTTATTTAAGATCATTAAAGCCTTTCAACATTAATTTAGGCCAAATTTTTTTACCACGAACAGTGCAAGAATCCGAAAGACGGTATTAATGAGAGCACAGCCAACGCTAGAGAAGCGACATCTTCAATAGATGTGGAAGTCTCTGTTTGTGCATATGTATGTGTTAACTGTGAAATATCAGTAAAATGTTTCCAGCGATTATTAAACTATCTCATCAACATACGGCTTAGCATTCCCTTTTTCTCATGCTCATCAGATGTTGGTAACTGTACTTAGCTACAGGTAAAGGTGGATGGCGAATTTTGTCTTCAATTCCTTCTTTAGAAAACCATGAAGCAGTCTCAAATAATTATCAATTGGTTCCCCTTAATTCATAGTAAAAGGCATGCCAAAAGCAAAAATTTGATTCAAAAAACTATCCAATAATGCAGGTAGCAGTGTTTGGATAGAGCGGCAGAGGGGCGCAGGGGAAGGTGTTCCATTTAAATGTTTTAGCTCTTTTTGGGCCAAATTCTCACCCTTGGAACTTTAAAATTGTTCACATTAGGTAAAATATCCCCCTCTGTGTTACGAAAAACCGCAGTTTGGTTGCGGGAAATACCAAAATAACCGATATTTTGAACCGCTTCGGGAAAATAGTTCCATAAACAAGGGCATTAATGAATCATGCAGCCTTTTCGTAATTCAGTATGTCCTAATTTGCCGAAAGAAAACTGAATCGCCTCATAAAAATCTTAGTTTCTTGCTTCTTGTTGCTCTTATTGGTTAGGGCCTGCGCAGTTGGGACGTCAACAAGAATCTTGTTGTCGGCAAACGGATTATCCCAGAGGTCTCGATCCCTGTCGCTGACCAAAAGGATCGCGGCCTCTGGGAACGAGATTGTTCAAGTCTTTGAATTTGGCGGTGCATTTATTATTCCGAGCATGCTCTGTCGAGCCAGTCCAGTTTTTCTCGACCCGCTGCTTTCAAGACCGGTCACGCTTTTGTAAATTTACATCCAAAGCGACGGAAAAAATGTAAAAATGCCCCATCGAAATCTTGACAAAATAACCCAAGTTTTTCACCACTAGTAGCGTAGATAGTACTTAGTTCAATACCGGTAGTGCATTTGTGATAGATCTCCTACTTTGAGAAGGAAAGGCAATATTCTGCAGAAAATAGCGTGTTTTCAGCTCTATTTCACCGGAAGTTGAGGCCACCTGATGTGACAAAGGGCAAATGTCGCAATGAGTTTGATATCATTAATTTAAGTTTTGACGTTAATGTTAAAATGTGACAGGTGGTATGGACCTGTTTACCGGTAAAGTATAAGTTACATCCCTGTTGTAGCTTAACTGCACTTAATGCACTCCACTTTTCAGGAGACTTGCGATTCGATCCGCAAACAAGGCAGCGATCATGGGTGTTGTTCTTCACTACAGTATTTTCTTTGTGCTGTACATGCATTCTTTACGAATTTGCTTCGGCTGTTTGGATGGTAAGTTCTTCTCTTTCCAATTTCTCCATTTACGGCTTGTTGTTTTAATCATATTTGGATCACCATTTTTACTGAAAACCGAGCGTCAAAAAAGTGAGAAATACATTCTATTTCCTGAAATAACAGGGGCACCCAGCGACAATTTTCGTAAAATATCTGTTCGGAAGACGATTTGAGATCTAGAATTTTCGGAACATTTTTTCCAAAATTTCTTGCTTGTCTGCCTCTCCTAGGATTTTCGAACATCTAAAAAATGGTATAATTGCCCATTTTTAACCGATTTTTACCCTAAAAAGGTCACCTACAATTTTCGGGAGCCTTTTTTCTGGCTGAAATTTTCGAAAAGGTAAGTTTTGATCCCTATAATTTTCGAATCCCTAGACTTTCAGCTAGGAAATCCGAACAGATGAAAAATTTTTAGGTGATAAAAATATGCCTATATCTACCGTTCTAATACTAAAATACGTTTAACAATGCTATGCTTAAGTGGTTTTGAACTATATTCTCGTTGGGTGCCCCTGAAATAAGATACTGAAAAAGATTATAATTAGCTATAAGACTACTTTAAAAATTGGAACAAGAGTAGCAGCAAAATTTTCTATTCTAATATACTGCCTTTAAATATGACTTTTTTACGGCTAATACACTTAATTTCTCTTCTTTACAGTTAACAGACAAAAGTAAAAAAGTCACTTCACATGTAAAAAGTTCCGCAAAATTAATTTTCGTTGTTGCAAATTTTTTTAAGGCTCGTAGGACTCTAAGGACCGTACGTTTCCCATATATTAAGAACCGAGTCCATTAGCAACTAGGGGAGAAGTCACAAAAAGTTCTAAGCAAGAGTTATAAACGTTCTCATGGACGAAAAACAAGCGAAATACCAAGCTAAGCTAACTTAGGTTATTTATATTTGTCTTCTTTGGGCGTGAGTCACTGTTAATGGCCATTATAGAAATTGTCCCTTGAATTCCAAAATTCTTTGGATATCATGCCATCTATTTTATGTTTATTCTATTTAAGGCCTAGGTGTTTCGATACAGTTTTTCGTTGACTGACCATACCGATATTTTTCAATCGCCTTAAAGGTGATTTCAGCCTTATCCCACCGCTATAAAATTTTCACCAGTGATTGACTATGAATTGAAGTTTGTCAAAATACAGTTTTAAGTAAAATCGATATCACTATGACAACAATAAATAAAAATACTCTGAAATTTATAAAAGCCGAATTTTGTGCGATCTAGACCTGCTGCTGAAAATCCGCCACCAAGGAACTTACAGTGTGGTGTTTAGCAAATAAACTCCGTGGGAGATAAAAAATTCTGTTTGTTTGAATTCAAAAAAAACGTAAATATATTTCAAACCTTACATTTCAATAGCCGTGCGAAATTGTTTAATAAAAAAGTTCTAAATAACTCAAATTAATCTTAAGTAGCGTCAGAATGCTGCTTAATATCAAATTTCGCTGCTTGGAAATTTTGGTGTATTTTGTTTCTTGCGATCCTGAGAACTAACCTGTTTTCTCACCACCTGTCTAAGTGCAACTTGATTGTAAATTCTGACTTTTAGCGTTTTTTTGTATATCTCTAAAACGGCTCAACAGAATTCTTTTTAAACCTCATCACATAATCTTCACGATGTATATAATAATGTCTACAACTTTCATGAACATTGATTCACTGCAACACCTTGAAATTTCAAGACAAACTTAGGGCCTGTTTACATGAAGGTGGGTGACCCCAGGTACGTGAGGTAACCCGACTAGGTAGGGATTTTTTATTTCTCACGGAGGTTACTCGCTAAAGACCGCGCTTTAAGTTCCTATTGCCGGATTTTCGGTAGCAGGTCTAGATCGCGTAAAATTCGGCTTTTATAGATTTCAGAGGTTTTTGATTATTGTTGTCATAGTGATATCGATTTTACTTAAAGCTGCATTTTGACAAACTTCAATTCATAATCAATCACTGGGGATGGTGAAAATTTTTCTAGCGATCGAACAAGGATAAAATCACCTTCAAAGCGATTGAAAAATATCGGTATGTTCTCCGAAAAACTGTATCGAAACACAATGAGCCCAGAATTTGCTAAGTCATTCAATCAGGCAGCTGCTAACAGACTGACTGAATAACAGGCAGCCTAATAAACGATGAATAAGAGGAAATAAAGGTAAACACATCCTGCTGCACGTAATTAACAAGGAAAAAATTGCTAAGAAACCAAAAATTCTGTTTGCATGTCAACGCGAAAATATTTCCACGGCAAACACCAGAC